AAAAAATGAAAAAATCATTCAACTCAAATGTATTAATCAAGAGTTACGTCAACAAATTTCAATAAATAAAGAACAAACATTAATTCTGAAACAAATGCAACAAATAATAAATTTATATAATTATAATCCAATATAATAATAAAACAAAAATAAAAGTTCTAACTAAAGATGGCACAACAACTGTTACAACATGATAATAAATAAAGCATCACCTAGTTATAACTAATTGCAACTTATAAAATTTTGAAGTTGCAACGTGTTGTAACAGGTGATAAATAATTATCACATACTTGCTGTGTCATCTTTAGTTCCAACTTTATAGAAACTAATTATTTAAATTATTTTAATTATTATATTAAATCTTTATTTTTTTAATTAGTATTTTTATAAACTGAACTGAATTGGACTTTTACCTGAATTTGAGTCTGGTTCAAAATTTGAATTAAACTCAAATCAGATTTTAATTTGAGTTCAAGAAAAGTTTAAAATTTTAATTGAACTCAAATTGAACTATTATATAAATTCAAGTTTGATTTAAGTTTAATTAAAGATTAACATATAATATTATATATCAATTTGTAGTTCTAAATAAAAATTACAAATTTAATTATAAATAAAAATAGTTACTGAAATAATATCATCTAATTAAATAATTTGCTAAAATTAACTTGTTGAAATTAAATTCAAAATTATTTTGATTTATTTTATTATTAACCAAAATCAAAATACCATTTTTCCAAAAATAATTTAAGAGCTTATCTTTAATTATAGTATTTATTAGTAAAAATTAAAAATTTACTTAATAATAACAAATTATTTTTATTTTTATGATTATTAAATTTTATCATAAATTCTATATATCTTTTTAAATAATAATAATTATTAATAACTATCTTATATCAAATTATAGTTCTTATTACTAATTACAATTTTACTTATTTATAGTTTAGAATTACTATAACAAAATAAAAATTACTATAAAATAACTAAATTAAATTAAATTAAATTATAAAAATTAAAAATAATTTTTAAATTTAAATATCTTTTTGAATATTAGCTATCTTATATTAATTTGTAGTTCTAATTCTAATTTATAACTTTATATAGAAACTTATTAAATATTTACTTGAACTCAAATTGGACTTTTGATCAAATTCAAAGTTTAAACTAAACTCAAATCAGACTTTTGGTTAGGTTCAAGTTTAATTTAAGTTTGAATTAATCAAATTCAAATTGAATTAGATATTTTACTCTTAATATATAGTCTTTTAAAAATTTTATACAAACTTATAATTTTAATTAATCAATTTTTTCAACAATAACAACAAATTAACACTAATTATAATTTTAATATTCTTTAATATTATTAAAAAATTAATATATATTACAAAATTTTTAATTATTCATCTTTGAAAATATAGATCATAAATTATTAAATTCTTGAAAACTATATATATTTAATAAATAATTCTTTTGTATATCATTAATTTTTTTGTTGGTATAAGTTACTATATATTTTTTTTAAGATAATATATATTTAATTCAAAACTAAAAGTATCAGTATATAATATAAATAGTTTTTTAAAATTTGAATAGATAAAAATTAGTATTAGAATTAATCTACTTTTTAATTCTTCAAATACATCTTAATATTCTATTATTCAGATAAAAAATTGGGTTTTTTTATTAATTATATAATAATATTGTAATTTTAGCAAAATTTTTTATAAATTTTTTATAATATAAAACTAATTCAAGAAAATCTCTTAATTTTGTTAAATTTGTTAATATTAAAAATTGCTTTATAATTATTATCTTAGCTAAATCTAATTAAATTTTATTTTTATTAATAATATATTTAAGAAAGTTGAGTGTTGATTTCCAAAATGATACTTTTTTAAATTTAATTTTAATTTATTTTTTCTAATATTTTTTTATATAAACTAAATATTTTCAAAAGTATTGAAAAATATATTAGTATTATCTAAATATATTACTATAAATTTGTTAATATACTTCTTAAAAATTTTATTTATTAATCTTTAAAATATTACTAATCTATTAGTAAGTAAATATTATATTAAATTTATATAATCTATCATATTGTTATTATTTCTATTAATTTTATTATTTTTCAAATATAGATCATGTATTTTTTATGTATTTCAATCAGGTAGAAGAATTATTAGAGATTTTATGTGTTTTAAGTATTTAAAGTTGGAAGAGACTAATTTATTAAAGATAGATAATGACATGTTCATTTTGTTGAACTACTAGAATAAGTTCAGAAATCTTTTCTTAATATAAATAATTTTGTAAGAATACTTTTTTACATGAATAATGTTAAAATAAATTTATTGATTATTATAAATAAATTATATTAATTAATATATTTTCAGTTTTAATTTTATTAATAAAGCTTATTTTTTATTTATTAAAGATCTAAAGAACTATAATATAGAACAAAGATATTTAAATACATAATTAATATTAAACAAATTATAAATAAATTAACAATAAAATAAAGAGCAATTGGTTTTAAATTATTAATCTTAAAGGTGATATACCTTCAAGTTATATTGTACTTAATTAGATATATAAAACATAAATAATAATAAAAAGTAATTAACATAAATTTAAATATAATAAATGAAAAAGAAAAAAATAAATAAAAAGAAAAGAAATTAAAACAAAGTGTGTCTAAATTAACAATGTGATCTATATTTACATCTAATCTATTTGACAAAATATTAAGAAGTATTAAATGTAGATCTGTATTAATTTCTAATAAATTATGCAAAAAAATAATAAATATAACACAAAAAATGATGAACATGATACAAGAAAATATAAAAATATATGAAAATTGTTACAAAAAATAACAGCACGAAAAATATATCAAATTCTTTTATAGAGAAAATTCTAATAATTTCATTAAATAGCAAGAATGGAATTAACTCAAAAAAGAATTATATAAAGAAAACTAGATTATTTCAAGGTATATTTGGTACTATAAAAATCTATATATAGTTATTCCAAAGCATTTTCGAGAATTGGATTTCATCGAGTAAATTAAAACTTTAACTATTCATAATAATTAAGTAATAAAATCTCATGTGCACACATGTTCTCTATTTTATTTTTCTGACACACACACACATACACACACATATACACAATTAAAGATAAGCCTAATATGGGTATTGATAAATACAAAAAAAAATAAGAACATGAACCAAGTTCAAAGTATTATAGATAGTAGTCCAGTATTAACAAACAGGATTATTATAAAAACTTTAACACACTACATATTCATTATCTTGGCTGACTTTTCAAAACTATTTGCTGAATTTCATAAAGATCAATGATAAAATTACCACCAGGAATTGCAGGACAAGAAACCAGTGGAACATATCCGATAGCTGAAATAGGTGGATCATAAAATACATCACTTATTGGAATGTTGATATGATATGCTGGATTATCCGGAGCATTACATCCAGTAGGTTGACTACTACCTTTTTTCACAGTCCCAAAATGCCACTATTTTTTAGACATATACATGTAAATATCGAAAAAATAAAATAAACAGAATTTCCAAACAGTTTAATATTACTTTTCTGGTTGGCAATCCCTGTCTCCATAATTTAGCCTAATATTTAAAAAGTTTTTTAGAATATCAACTACGAAACTATAATAAAATAGTCAATAGATACATACCTTCATTGATCGATTAAATTGTCCATGTGTATTTCGTGTAGTTCTCAAATCGTAAAGCTTTATTCCTAATACACATCTCACGTACTGCTGACTCATCCAAAGTGCACACTTATTTTTCAATCCACAATAATTTTGACTAACTGCAACCTCACATATTATTCTAGCATGAGAATTCCCCTACAAAAGTATATGTATTAGAAATTGTATACAAAACAGATAATGATAATATACACCAAATTCAATGTACCATTGTGTCGCTTGGAGGAGATCCAAGATTGAGAGGTCCAGTATTGGGAGATCTTGGAACGTACGTCTCATCCGGACGTATTGCAATATCCGGTGCAATCCTAAGTCCATCTGCATTTGGTGAAGGATGAACTATAAAAAGGATGTAAGATATTAGAAAATCCATAAAAAGTCAAAGATCAAGCAAGCTTGAAATTTTTTACATGATTGACCCCTAACAACTATTGGTGGATTAATAATAACGCCACCATTTGGAATTCTGAAATACTCTTGTAATAGTGCAACAACAGCTTCATGTACTTCTGTGCACATATCAATAATAAAAACATTGCCATTATTATACTCAAACTTATATCCAGATGGTTCACGGCTTTCAAGAAATTTGTTGTAGTTTTTTATCGATATATTGGAACCAATCTTAAAAGATAAACTGCAATTCATATGAGCTAACACTAAGTGGAACTTAAAGTAAAGGATCACAGTTCTTTGGAAATTTTGGAAGTTGAAATTGTTCTTGAAGCTTCTTAGTTAAGTCACGAAACATTTTGAAAAATGTTTGAGTAAAAAATACGAAGTAGTTTTGTAGAAAATTACGTAGTTAAGTCATTTGAAAAAATTTTCAGTGGTTATCGATCACAAGTCACGAGATATTTGAAAGGCACGGGAGTTAGGGAAATCATAGTTTAATATAATGCGTCAATCACGCTTCGCGGAATACATTTCAGTAGGTAAACATTTAATATAAGCAATTTTAACCACGAAGTAATAGAGCTTTATTTTTTGCATCGCAGCATGCATGATGTAATCGTATGACCTGCTGATTGTTATTAACTCGTGGCATACGCATTTTCTTTGTGAAAAGTTTTTCGCTGTGCATTGCATCGCTCCAGTTCCACATTCCCTAAATCTACTGTTCCCATACCTAAATGAAGCAGAAATGAGCGGAGGAAAACGTTTTAAAAGGACAGTATATTTACGTTGTGGTTATTCGTCGTTTTTACTTGCGATATTGACTCAAACTATTCACTGTTAAAATGTCAAACTTAGTTTCAAAAATCGAAGCTCTTTTTTTGAAAGGTTCTCTTGACGCTATATGTTCCGCTACTGTCATTTATCTAACAAGAAAAGGAACAGCTTTACAACCATTACTTCTCGTTAAAGACTTAGCGGAGCGTGCAGTGAATTCCTCATTAACAAAAATAACTGATTTCGATCGAAGAATGAGAGTGTTGGAAGTTTTACCACAGGTTGGTACATCCCATATTTAATCTTTTCTATAATTCACATTGTGATGATTTCACAGCAAATGCTACAGAGTTTGTTTTATATACTGCTGGTTAGGGACGCCAGCCCGGAAGAGCGATGTTGTCAGGAAAATTTCCTCACGATGTCGAAGGTTTCTGCTACCCCTAACTGTGTGCAGTTCTATAGTGGAAAACAAAAATACTCTATTGTTCGTCAAAATTGATAGAATCTAAATGTTCACGTGTAAACATATGGGGTTTTTAATTTTGTGGCCACAAATCTAACTTATCGTATTTGCTGTAGATGGAAGTTGGATATAAAAGTGTCGTGAGGTTGGACGCAGTAAAAGGACTGAAGACGGAGCAGGAGCCTAACCTCGACCGTACAAGAGAAGAGATAGAACGGAATATAAGAACCTTAAAATCGAAGCTAGGCTCGCCGATGACCGATGCAGACATATCCCTCTACAATGCCCGCAAAACCAATCTACGAAGCATCAATCTTTCCGAACTTTCGTGGCGTGATCCAGAGGCAAATATGATTATTTCCGACGATTCAACATTAGTAAAAAATTTAAGGACGAGACAGAAGCAACTTTTTTTAGAGCCCTGTGAGAATATAAAATGCGTTCTCCCCACTTCGGTTATTCAAGATGCGATGAATTCGTAAATAATCTTATTAATATTGAAGTACCGGATGTGCTCATGAACATTGTACATAACAAAGAATGGAAAGAGGAGGATGTTAAATTGTTAGAACGAACAAATCGTATATTAAGCGTTCTGTAGGTATTTTTTATCTTTGTATTTGATTTTAAGAAAACTTTTTAACTATTCTTAATGCAGGGAGGGAGTATGGAACAATCCAGCATTCGCAACTAGCGAAATGCGTAGTTCTCAAAGTGAAGGAACTTATATCACAGACATCGTTGTAACTTTGCTTCGGGCCGGTTTGGATGATCTCCCAAATGGTAGTATTGGTATGAGCACTGCGGAACGTCAGAGTATAACAAAAAAAGTCTTGGGTGAATGAAGAAAAGAGTTCACACTCTTCCAGAGTGCCGATAGGGAAAAAACCCGATGTTATGGTGATGGAAAAATGTGGAGGTAAGATTTTTGAACTTGCTCGTGTGGAATCTTCACGGGTCGTTTGCACTAATTCAAAAAAAGAGGATGATTCTATAAAATTGTGGAGGGAAACCCTAGATGGAATAAGTCTTGTCGGTATTACTTGTAGACCAAAAAGTAATCAATTCGGTATTGTTGGAATTCAAGTGGTGGCTGGTGAGGATTTATGTCTAAACGTTTTAGTGAGAGATGCAAACGGGATACCAAGATATTTCCATCTTATCCAAGCTCAAATACCTTTTACAAAAAGTACTTCATGGCGTGTGAAGCCTCTTATTCACCTATTACTGACTTTGAGAAATATTACAATTGTAAACAAAAGCTTACTAATGCAGGCATTAAAGCAAGCTAATACACGTCCACCCCGAAATGCTAATCCGAGTCCCACAGTTTCTTCACCATTATACGATTAATCTTTGTAATATTTCGATCCTTTGTATTTTTATATATATATCAATAAAATAGATCTGATGGCGATTTATCTTATATATTCGTACATGCGTGGAAATCTGACTAAAAAACAATTATGTAAAAAATCATATTTGCTGGATCGCAATGTCTGGTCGCAGTTAGATAATACAAATAATCGTCACGTGCGTTATTTATCGGGCACATGATAGAGTATTAAGTCGAACATCCCATATACGTAGTCACACCGGGAAATAGATTTCACGCCCGAAATAGATCATGCAACGATTATCTCGGATATAGAACGACGCAATATCTTGATTTGGTGATCGTCGTATTATATGACCCCTACCGATTATCAACGATTACCTACCTCCCTTCCCACGCTTCTTTTTTCTACGAAAGTAATAATATTCTTCTTGAGTAGGACTCGGCTCTAGGGTTATTTGACCTTAACGGCTCGTCGAATAGTGTTGCTTTTGATTTCTCTGCCAATTAGTAATACACCGCTTTTCATTCCTATATTAGTATGTCGCAAGAGAAAACACCTAAGAAATTGTCACGTAGTGCTCGTTACAATAAAAAACGTAGGCTTAATAAGAAACAAAAATCAACTTTACCAGCTGAGCAAAATGAGTATATACCAATCGCACCGTTGTCGATAAGCGATATCCCTCCCGAAATAAGACTCAACACGCCGTGCATTATTTTCGATCCAAACCGAGTATATATTGTTTCTCATTTACCTTATTAATAATCAAAGCGGACGTCCCTCGTGTCTGGTTGTTTTTGTGTCTTTGCTCTGCAAATGATCGGTCAACCATTTTTAAGTTACATTGTATGGATATACTTAGTATGTTGTGTGTTCGAAGGGCACAATCATCATTCCGGTGGCCCATAACTTTAGCTTGGTGGTTTGTTCAATCCGCAAAAGTTGGCAACCGAGTACAGTTCCGTTTTCCAATAGAATATTGTGATTTGCATTTTATACTAGTTCGTGTTAAAATTGTTTTTTATCATTAATTATATTAGCACCGGATCCAGCATGCAAGCCGGGGATTATGTACACGTGATAAAATTCAATATATTGAAAGAATGGAGGAGTGTTCCACTTTGTTTATTAAATCGTATAGCATCAGGGGTTATCAAAATTCGTGAAAGATTTAATCTAATTAAATTATTCTAATTATATATAAAGTCAATAAATTTATAATTAAAATATATAAAAAATTATTAATTTTACAGTTCCCAATAAAAGTAATAATAAACATGTTTTTTGTTTATATTTTAATAAGAAATTATTCAAAAATTATGAAAATTTATAGATATATTCTCTAAATATTAGAAACAAGTTTTTATAATATAATAAAACATATTAACAAAGTAAAATTTTGCAAAATTTCATGTCAAAAATGATAAATTAAAATTTTTAACATTTAAGTTAAAATAAAAAATTATTTAAAAATATTTTTAATAAGTAATTTTGAAAATAATTTTATAAAATATATTTATTTTATAATATAGAAAATAAATATATTTGTAATTTAAAAAATTTTTCAGTCTATTTTTATTTAATAAATATTATTCAAAAAAAGATTTTATTTTGACAAATTTAATAAAATATAATAAAATCTCATTTATACTATATTTTACTATATTTTATTAAAAAATTTGTCAAAATAAAATCTTTGTTTAAATAATATTTATTAAATAAAAATATTATAAATATATTTATTCTTTATATTATAAAAGATATTTCATAAAATTATTTTCAAAATTGCTTATTAAAAATATTTTTAAATAATGTTTTATTTTAAATTTAAATGTTAAAAATTTTAATTTATCACTTTTGATATAAAATTTTACTTTGTTAATATACTTTGTAATATTATAAAAACTTGTTTCTAATATTTTAAAGAATATATCTACAAATTTTTATAATTTCTTATTAAGATATAAATAAAAAATATATTTAATATTATTTTCATCAGAAATTATATATACAATTTAATAACTTGATTAAATTAAATCTAAAAAATATATGTTAAAATATATAATATTATTTTATTTTAAAAAATATTTATTAATAAAATTGAAAACTTTATATAAAAAAATTTGTATTTCACTATATTTTATTAATAAATTTTGATAATAAATTACCAAAAAAGTATAATAAAATATAATAAAATTCTTATTTTTATTAATATTTTTGTTTTTATATTAAATAAAGCTAATAATCTATATTTTAACATATATTTTTATAGATTTTTAAATTTAATTTCAGAAATATTTCTGATTATAAAAATAATTATATATACTTTTTATAATTAAAAATTCAAATTATTAAATTTTAATTATAAAAAATTTATATAATTATTTTTGAATCTGAAATATTTTTGAAATTAAATATTATTATTATTATGATATATTACAATCAAACCTCTTTATATTCATATCTATTTATAGTCATATTCCTCTATAATTACTCTATTTTGCTTTCTTATTTATATATAAACATAGTAAAAAAATTTCTCTATAATCACATTTTTTCTATAATTATCAAATTTTGCTTTTCTAAGGATAATAACTATAAAAAGATTTGACTATATCTGTTTGTTAATATACTAAAGCAAAAATCCAATTAGATAATTATATTATCAAAAAGTTCAATATTTATTTATAATAATAATATTTTCTTTATATAATAATAATATTTCTCTCACATAATAATATTTGACAAAGAATAATAATTATTATAAATATAATTGATTTTTATT